CATTGTTATGCTCATGAACTTAACCTGGTGTTGTGCCACACTTGCAAGGCCATCCCAGAGGCTGTGGAGCTTTTCAGCTTGTTGGAGTGTGTGTACTCTTTCTTCAGCACCTCCCTAGTGAGTCATCATAAGTTCATGGAGGCTCACACCAAGGCTTGGATTGACAACAATTGAGCTTGTGCAACTTTCAAACACTCGCTGGGCATGTCGTTGCGATCAATCAGTGCAGTTCTTGAGACATTGTCTGCCATTTTGGAGTGCCTTTCTGCCATTGGATCCCTCATAGCTGTTGGTCTCAGAGCAAAGCTCTATAAGTTCTCAGCAGTCTATGCACTACTGATGTTTCAGTCACTTTCTGTAACGAAGGACTCCACAAGCTCCTTCAGAAAGAGACTTTAGACCTGGTAGAGGCTTTGATCTGCAAACAAGCAGTGTGTGACACACACACAGATGCATTTGCCACAGAGCTGTATGAGAGAACCAAAGCCCTGTGCCACACCCACAGTATCCCTGAACCAGGTGCCAAGACAAGGAATAAACAGAGGAAAATGGAGATTTTGTGCTGGAGGCAACTGCAGGTTCACGCACTGAATTGAACAACTCAGACACATTGAGAAGAGAGTTACTTTTCCCTTGTGTGGAGAGATGGTTGGCGAGCTTGAGCAAAGATTTTGCAGTGTAGATGCAGGGCTACTAAAAGGCATCCAGGCATGCAGTCCTAAATGTGAGAACTTCTTGAGTGAATCACACTTGAATGAACTTGCAAAACACTACAGCATTGACCTGAAAACAGAGGAGGTTCTGGTGGCCAGAAACTTTCTTGCCCGGAAAACAGAGGCTGGATGTTCACCCAAAGATATGTTGTCTGTGCACAACCTCCTTGATTCAGACATGTTTCCCTCTCTGAAGGCAACCATACAAGTTCCCTAACAGTGCCTGTAAGCAGCTGCTCATGTGAAAGGTCCTTTAGTGCACTGCATCTGCTGCACTCCTGGCTGCATCAAACAATGGGTCAGAAAAGACTTAACAGTCTTGCAGTCATGTCAATTGAAACAGACACGCTTCAGCATGAGTCACAACAGAGTGATAGACCGATTTGCCACCCTTAAAAACAGACGGCATTCTTTGATGCTTCCACCCACTAAGTAACTCGCAGTTGTAGCCATGTTATTTAAAAATGGTGTACTTGGCTTACTTTTATTGTTAATGCTGTAAACATACTGTTACTGTGCAAACCTGTGTTTGTTCTTGTACTGTATTCAAAAAACAGACTGAAATAATAATAATAAATAATTTCTCAGTCTTTGTTAGCTGTTTGTGAAATTTTGTGCTCGCGCTACGTTCGCTCACATCCTCTGCATCTCTTGGGGGCTAAGCCTCCCCTGTCCTTAAAACCTAGTGCCCCTGGTCTCAGAAAATGTTGTGTTTCAGAAAATATCCAATGTATGAGGAATCAAGCATAATTCTGCTGATCTGAGCTATAGGTCCAGCATCATCTCTATTACAGCGTCTCTAAATGAACAATATTCTGCTGTGGTGAGATAAGAAAAAACTCTGCTGGATCAAATAACTACATTTTGTACTACGTGGGTAATAAACACTGGACAGTCTGTATTAATATCAGTGTGCTCGATGGCAAAGTGAAGTGAGAACACAGCTTTCTATCATGAGATCATCAATGAAACTAGCAAAAGAACAGAGAGCTCAGTTCATCCCCAGTGCTCGATCAACAAAGTGAATTCATTTATTTCCTCCTCAGGGGACCAAGAAGGTCTGTACCACACTTCAAACCAGTCCATTCATCCATCCTTCAGCTCCAGTTCAAACATTGTGGACTTAACAAATGAAACAACAGACATCACCGTTAAAGGAGAAACATTCTGAGAGGAAGAAAAAGAGGAAGAGACGCTGAAGTAGAAATGTGTTTGAGGTTTGATCCTGGTTCATGATTTGTGTAGTTCACCAGCAGACAGGTTTTTGTATCACGTCTTTTCACTGTGGGGGACGTTATTTGATCTTTGGCTCTGGAACTAGACTCTTTGTGGAGATTTTTTTTTAAGGTGTGCAGCTATTGAGACATGAAAAGATGTTACCTCTAAGATGTTCAAATCTCAACACATAAATAAAGTTAAATAAGGTTAAAGTATTCTGTTATTCTGTTTCATATGTTGTAAAGAACATTTTAATGATCCTGAAATAAAAACCTGTAAAATAAAGCTCACAATAATTATATTTGATTTGATGGTGTCTTCAAACAGATATTTAAATGATATTTTAAATGTAATCAGGGTTCAAGGCATATTAAATGTAACTTTAAAGAGTTGGAGGCTCAATAAGAGGTTCATTAAAAATAACTAACAAGGTTTAAGGACAAGAAGTGCGACTGACGAGGCGACTCCAAAGAGTTTCTGATCTTTAACGACTTAGAAAGCCACATTAGAAGAAAAAGACTTTGTTTGAATGAAACGCTTTAAAAAGGATCAAATAGTCAAACCAATGATTGTTGGGCTCAAACTTGAACATGTTGTTAGTGCTCTGTTTTGAACTGTGTGAATCAACTCATCAATCTTTCTTTGTATGGCTCTGATTTCTAACAAATGTTATCTGAAGACACTTTAAAAAGAGCAGGTCTAGAGCCCACTCTTTGTTATCACACGTTGACTTCTTCTCTGTGTGAATCTACAAATAAACTTGCTCAAATGATTCACATTTATATCATTATATATATTTAATACAGAATGAAAAACAGTTTTTCAGAGACAATCATTTGAACTATATGTTGTCTGATATCACACGTTATCATACGTCTATTTAAATGTCTCTGGGATTTATGAAACCTTTGTCTTCAGTTTGTAAATCAAGTTTGACCTTATTTGACATTTCAAAACATAACACTGAATATTTAATAAATAACAAACACTCTGAAATAACTGTTGTATGGATTTTATTTATCTGTATTAATTAGAGTAAACAACATGGTTTTAAATATATTCATACATATTTATTTTTTAATTTATTCAAAATGATTAAAGAGTTTTCTTGAAGGTTAATATGTAATTCATAATTATATGCAAACCCCGATAAAGATAAGAGTTGTTTAAATTGTATGGAAATATATTTTAATGAAATTAAAAGCATGATAAAATATAATTTAATGTATAAATACAAAATATAACAAAGTATAAAATGATATTCTATTGCTGCTATAATCCTACTTTGTTTTATTTTATGGATTTAATTTCACTTAAATGTTTTAAACCTTAAAATGTTATTGACAACACCTGCTATTTTAATAAACAGATTCATGTATTTACCATAATAGAGATGATATGATTAATGTGTCTTAATTTTTACTGAGCTGTAGTCATGAGTGTTTTAGAGACCAGAGTTCATGTAGGTTTAGGATCAGACTGAATGTCGTTAATGCTGCTGACTCTGTGTGTGTTACTTGTTTCTCTTTCAAAGATGAGGAGCAGGTGGTGAAGCCCGTGGTGAGCGTGTACCCGGCAGCATCCAGAGGCCGGCTGGAGGAGAAGAGCTCCCTGCTGTGTTTGGCCTCAGCCATGTTTCCTCCTGTGGTCAGAATCTCCTGGAGACGACAAACGGAGAGTGGATGTTTAGAGGAGCTGCCCTCTGCTGACGGACAGCAGCTGGAGCTCAGAGAGTCTGGATGTACTGCCTCCGTCTTACAGATCTATCAGACAAAGTTCAGCTATGAATACAGCTGCTACGTGCAGCATGAGGGGGGAACAGTGGAGGCTCTTATAGATACAGGTAATGAAGGTTTTGGTGACTTTATGCAGCGTAGATTCATCTTCATTTAGTGACTCTGTTAAAAGAAAGAAAAACAGAGGACTGACGTTGTTGATGATTTTATTCTTTTTTTGTTCCATCACCTGCAGCGGATCCCTCTGTCCCGTCTCCATACAAGGTGAAGCTGCTCTTGCTGCTCTACACAGTGCTGACAGTGAAGAGTCTGGTGTACTGCTGTGGACTCTTCCTGCTGACCGTCCTCAGGAACATCTCATAAATGTATCTCCTTTATCACTTAGATGAATTTAAAAATGTCAATCATGACTAAATATATGCAATTATGATCAAACAACATTTTGCAGCAGTGTAAAACAAATCCTATATTATATACATTAAATGTTATTGTTTTGTATAATACTTTAGCAAATGATGCGCAATGTTTAGAGCTATTAGCGGCTAAGATGCTTTCTTAATCAGGCCCTCAGTCTCTCGTAACAAGCTCTCTTTATAGTTTCACACACCGCTGAGAATAAAATGTACAGGAAGATATGAATACAAGCACACACATTGACCAGGAACAAAAAGCTCACAAAGAAAAGTAAACTCGTAAAAATTCAGTGTGTTGATTTGTCTGCAGGTTCACTGTTGACCCTTTTGACCCTTTTAAACGGTGGTGTCAGTGTTGATGTAGAGCTCTAAGCTGATGATACTCTTGTTTACATGTAGAAACAAAACATGACATAGCAGCTTCATCGGTGGAGAGCAGAAGCTGAAAGATACACAAAACATGCTGTGTGCTTTTCTTATTTTATTTTCTCGTTTATGGAGGAGTTAAAATATATTTTTGTTTTGGTAGTGACTTTACATAGATTGCTTTTTTTCTGCTAAATTACAATAAAATGTTTTTAACAAATCAATACAGAATCACAAATTTAGGCAGAAGTTACTAAAGATCTCATGTATTTAAAATATAGTGATTGTATATTTTAGCTAGTTCACAGTGCGCCTGTAAAACGTTTTTTTTTGTAAAGTAAATGCAATAAAAATAATAAAATAATAAAAAAATAATATACATTGTTGTGTCGTTTCTATAATTAACAACACAATGTTTTGATTTAAAATGAATCCTGAACAAAGACTTCTCTTTACCTTCTGAGCCCGACTTTATACTTTATTAGTTTTCAGTGCATGCTGCTGCGTAGCCCAGTGGTTAAGAACCATGTAAAGGGCTATTTCCCTCGAGACCGACGGCCTGGGTTCGACTCCGACCTTCTTCATTTCATCGCATTTCAATCAGTTTTATTGGGTGTCAAAAAGTGACAGCGATGGCTTCATTTTACATTTAGATGTAAGATGAATGATTCTAATGCAACGCAAAGTAATGCAAAAAAAGGAGGGTACCTCGTGTGCATAATACAAAAATATAATTATGACTCTATTCTTTGTAGCTCTTTTCAAACAAGGAGAACAGAGAGCTTCACGCATGACAGCAGAAAAGTACGACGGCGTATCAGAGCCATTCTAAAACAAACAAAAAACAGAAAAGGGAACATTTCCAAAGACAAACTCAGAGTTCTTGAGATTATAAAGTAAATTCACTATAAAACTCAGAATATCTCTTTAGATTTTAAATGTGATTATAGAGGTCAGTGACTGCAGACCTGATCCAAACAGTAGCATCGTATGCTTTTCTTATGGTGGACATTAGTGCCTTTATAATCTCACACAATAAACCAGTTGTGTTTCTAGAAAATGTACTTTAAAAAAAACAAAACATTTTGTGTTTTTTCTTTTAAATGAACGGCTCATTTTACTTTTTTTGTAGTCGTATAAAAGAAATCAAAATGAAGACCCATGTAGACGGGACAATACTGTCTGCTGTTATCGTTTCTTTTAAACATCTTGGAAATGAGAATTCCTGACTTACATCAGGTTTCAGTAATTATCAGCTAAATATTTTAAAGTGGATATACATTTTTTATTATTATTGTTAAGATTTCTTGTTTTTAATGTTATTCTTCTCTTTTTTTCCCCTCCTCCTACCTCCTTCTCTTCTGTTTATTTTTACACCAACAGCTCACTCCATTAAAGATTAAATGTGATCTTATTTCTGAAAAGTATCAGAGCTTATTAGAGAAGTTTCACATTATCAGTGTCTCAGTTTCCGAGTTCATTATAAAAACAGTTTTTCTCTCACAGATTAATACCAACGATTAGACCTGAGAAAGTTTTCAGCACAAACTAAAGTTCCTGGAACAATTATTAAACCACATTCAAAGGTTGTAACTGTCGTTGTGTTATTAATATGAAAACCTCAGATAACGGTGAGGAGGAGGCTGCAAAGAGGAAACCCACAGAGCTCGTCTGCTGTGTTTGATCATCTATTGTTTTATAAGTCCTGATAACCTCTGAGAACAGAAACATATCTGCTGCTGTATGAACTCATCGACTCCTCTCCCTCCCTCTGCTGGATTTCAATTCTCGCTGAGTCTGCAAGTTTTCCACTGAGATAGAGGTGTAACAGAAGAGAGTTCAGAGGCATAAAGTCACAAATAAACTTCATTTCTTTATTTGACAGAATGCAGACTTCAGAGAAACTCAAATTGAAAACGAATTCTTGATCAGATGGAAGATGTCTGTGTTTGCTGCTGATGCTGACAGGACTCATTAAGGAGAAAGAGCACCACCCTTTGGTTAGTCAGAGTAAGTGCAGGAATATCATGGTGACGCGCTAACCTCACGGCTGCTTCAACCACTGTGACATCTAGTGGAGTAAAAACACACAACAGGAAATGACGGCAGATCCTGCTTTAAAAAAAAATAGGGGACATGAAGAGAGTGACACATTTAACAAAACTGTAAACTTAAAAAACACTGTCAGGTAGATCAGTGATGAATGCATCATAAGAATAAGTGCAGAGAGCTGTTGGTGTGAGGAAAACACTAAACATGCACAAACCAGTTTGAAGAACCTGGAGGAGAAAGAGGAGGAGTGGACCCCCTCTAGATTCTGACTTCATGAATGTTAATTAAACCATTTTGTCAGAGATACATTTGAGTCCAGAGAAGCACATGTTAACAATTCAATGGTGCCATTCACTATATAGTGACTTGAAGAGGCAGACCGATCTCCATCATGGTTTTCTTTTGAGTGTTATAGTCAGTCACAGTCTAGAACAAAATGATGTTCTTATTCTACATAAACTACAAACAGACTATATAAAACGATTCCATTAAATGAATAATTTAATATTTCATTTGATATTTTCGTCATATCCAAATATGCTGTGATGATTGCTGGGTAATTATGTGATCATGTCATGTAGCTTGTTATAGCCAAAATCTGGTGGTGAGCACAGTGTACCTCTCCGAGCCGACCGAGCGATTCAAAATGCCTTTCAAGATAGATAGATAGATAGATAAATACTTTATTCATCTCCTGAGGGGAAATTCAGGAGTGTCCCATAGCTCACAAGTTAGAAAAAAATCGAACAAACATAGAAAACAAAATATCAATATTAATTTAATTAATTTCAAGTCAAAAATGACAGGAGAGAAAGGAACAGGAAGAGAGGGTAGCAAAGCTCACTAAAATAGACTATTTTGGTTTTCAAAATCAGTCAGCAGCCCACAGTTGACCCCCTGCCCCTTCCTAGCAGTAATGCAGCAGTTCGGCCTGCACTTCAACAGCCATGCAGCAGGTAACATTAGGAGGATAGAAGCTGTAACGTTGGCCCTAAATAATCTTAACATTAGGCTAGATATACATCTCAAGAAGAGTTATACATACATTTTGTTACAATCTAACACATTGTTGCTCGATATATAGCCTAATAGTGTGTGTGTGTGTGTGTGTGTGTGTGTGTGTGTGTGTGTGTGTGTGTACTAGGATCCGTCAACATGGCTTGCAATGGGGCCCGTCGTGACTACCTTACACCCTGGTGGGAGGACATATAAGCCAGGCTTCCTCAGCTTTCTTGCTCTCTCTCCCTCTGGACAGCAAAGACAGACAACCTTCTGTCATTGTTTTGGTTTGTTGTTGAGTGAAATATAACCTAAAAAGCAAGTTTACTGTGTGGTTCTCCCTTGACTGTTACGGCCTAGACGAGCTGGTCATAACACTTTGTAGTGAATAATATATAATAATAGTAATAATCTTTATTTATTTTATTACAAAGTGCTTTACAAGGACAGCAAAAACAAATGTAAGAACAGGCAGGTCATAGAATAATAAACAAGGCAAAGATTAAGAAATAACCACTTTAAGGTATAAAATCCATTTAAAAGAACTGTAAAACACATTCTTTTAAAGGAATTTTAAAAGGTGAAATTAAGTAACAATTTAAAATCAACTAAACTCAGGAAAGGCTCGCCAGTAAAAGTTTGTTTTTAGAAGGGACTTAAAAGAGATGACTGATTCGGCTGACCTGATCTCCAAGATGCTAAAACAGGAGTGATGTGGTTATGCTTTCTGGTTCTGGTTAAAAGCCTGGCAACTGAGTTCTGTACCAACTGGAGTTGATCTTTAGATTTTTGGTTCAGGCAAGTAAAAAGGCTGTCACAGCAGTCAAGACTTGATGAGATAAAAGCATGTAAAATCGTCTCTGTGTCTTTAACAGTTAAAATTGATGTAATTTTTGAGATATTTCTGAGCTGATAAAAACAAGACTTTGTTGTGTGCTGCTCAAAATGTAGGTTGCTGTCGAACCAGAAACCCAGATTTTTGGCAGCAGGGTTGATATGGTTTACTAGGGGACCAGCAGATGGCAGTATTTGCTTAGTAAGGGGCTGTGGTCCAATTAAATTGATCTCAGTCTTGCAGAAAGTTACTTGACATTCAGCTCTTAATCTCAGACAGGCAGTTTTTAACAGAACTCGGCATACCTTGGTCTAGAGATTTAATGGGCAGGTACAACTGCGTATCATCAGCATAAAAATGAAATAACACACCGTGTTTATTTATGATATGCCCTAAGGGGAGCATGTATAGGCAAAATAAAATGGCCCCCAAGACCAAACCCTGCGGCACACCATAGTTCACTCTAGAGAAGGCCGAGGCAAAGTGATTAACAGACACACAGCACCTTCTATTGGACAGATACAATTTAAACCAGTCTAATGCTGTACCAGAAACCCTGACCCAGTGCTTTAGTCTGTTCAACAGGATGTTGTGATCAATTGTGTCTGTACTGAGGTCCAAGAGTACCAGGACTGAGCACATACCTTCATCAGCGGCAATTAAAAGGACATTTTGTACCTTAAGCAAGGCAGTCTCAGTGCTGTGAAACTTCCTGAAACCTGATGAAGTTTTTCAAAAATGCAATTATTTTCCATCACATCGAGACGTTGTTTTGACACAATCTTTTCTAAAATCTTGGAAATAAAAGGCAATTTGGAAATTGGCCTGTAGTTCTGGGGCAGGGAGGGGGGTCTAGTCCATGTTTTTTCAGCAATGGATGTACTCAGGTAGTTTTAAAATAGTCAGGGACCCAACCCTTGGACAGAGAACTGTTAAAAATTGAAAGCAGCCAGGGCCCGACAGAGTCCATTCCTTTGAGTAAAAACTTGGTTGGTATCACATCAAGAGGGTTGGAAGCACTGGTGTAGTGCAGAGTATACG